ATAGGCCCTCATGCCCCCCCCCCCCCCGCTGGAACCGCGCCTGTGATATGCCTGCTAATCGGGCTGCTAATTAATGTTAAGTACAATTGTGATGAAAAATAATTGTGACGGGTATGGCATTGCGTTAACCACAAAATATTTTTTAAAATTTGTAATTGCCATAATTTTATTTACAGTTTGTTGAAAACATGAAAATGATATTATCTTACAGAACAAATCACTGGCCGAGTATCCGACGGTAACGGAGTATCCCTATGACGTCAGAGCTAAATACAAGATAAAGACCTAGTTACCAAAGCAAATGGTGTATTAGTTATATCGCAAAGAAAGCAATTGTTTATATTGAAACTGTCACTCAGTTTAAATAAATAGCACACCTTGTGAAATTCATGTTTGTTCATTCATTTTTTTTTGACAATTCACAATACGAAATAATTTCTTTCTGACATTTTTTACTACAAAAGACTTTGAAATCAGTTACTTATCAGCCAATGGTATCTGTGCAATATTAGGAAATATTATTAGGGCCCGTAATTCCTGTGTTCGTTGCCTTACCTTCTTCCTTTTATCGAGCACATAGATAACTCATTTATCTTACTTTTAAAATTAGAAGTTTATAACTTACGTAAATATACAAAATTTAGATATTTAATTATTCTTTGATTGTTTTTATATATATTTTTTTTTATAACTTTTATGGACTGCGCCTTTATAGGGCGTATGGGAACAGGTCAAAACGGCTAAAAACCAAAACGGCAATAAGTCAAAACGGCAATGACCGAAACGGCTGAACCAACACTTTCAGACCAGAACGGCAATAAATAAAAACGGCAACAAACCAAAACGGCAACACTTCCTAAATGACTAAATGGCTAAATAAAATACTTCTAGGCTACTGGCCTAGAGAGTCTAAGCCGAGGGCGTAGAATAATCATTATAGTTGTTGTTATAAAAATGTATACTGTACATAAATGATTGCAGTTATACAATCGCCTAAAATTGCAGAGAAAAAAATATATTTAAAAAATGGAAGAAAAAGTATATGCACTTGTATTTACGACGTTGCCATATAATTATCAATAGAAAATGATCAATTATAAGTACGGTAACGTAGGCAACACAGTTAATAATTGAATCACCGAATCAACAATAGTTTGCTTAAAACGCCTTTTTTTAAATTAAAAGGTTATTGAAAGTAACGTTCCATGGGCGTTACCTTTAAACCCCCTCATGATTTCGCACCTGATTAATGAACTTTAAGGTGATATTAACTCGTATTTACCTAGGTTTGACGGTTTTATTTTAACTGCTGTCATTAATATAACAAAAAAAGTACAACTCAAAAAAAGATTAACAGACCATTCTGATTCAATATTTATTTTGGTATATCATCAGTTCAGTTTATTTCTAATCGTCAAAACATTGTACAAAACAGATAAAATTCGCACAAGGCAGGACAAAAAATATTACAATAAAAGATGATGCAAGGATGGTCAATGAAACTTTTCTTTAAAAAGTAAAACTTAATTCCAGTGTGGCACAACATAAAACCAATTATAACATGAAAATGTACAACCTGTCTCTTAATAAGAGACAGGGTATATATATATATATGGTGTGAAAAAGACCCAAGTTTTTAATTTGAGTAATGGTAGTCTAATTATTTTTTTGATGTATGTCTCGTTTCCATGCAAACTTGTGTCACTGTGTGCATGCTCCACTGCACATAGAATTTGTGGGCCTATATGCCTTAAGCCGGGTACTTACTAACTCCACACAAGAGTCGTCTGCCGAATGTGATGCTATGAAGAACGCCACACGACGCGCAATGGATCCTTTTTTAACAACGATCCATTCAGATTGCTACCGACAATGAGCAGAGGGCGTTGCGTCATCTATTGTTCACAGGGAGAGTAATTTGATTTGTCGTTCGAAGCAGTAAATGCCCGCCATTGTTCTTCCTTAAATAATCATAAAAGTTACAATTGTGCATGGGACCTCATTTATGCAAAATGTCTTTAATTGTTAATCAGTTTATTATTTATTATGTATGTATCATTTATTGCACAGGATTTACTGATTATTATCGAAAAAAAACTGTTCCAAAGGCATGTTTGCATACATTTTTATATCATTTGAAACATCTTACTTAAATCAATTATACTGTGTATGATAATGGTGATCAGGCATACAGATTTCAAGAAAAATACAAAAAGAGCGTGGTGTCCGTGTGCATTTTTGCATACGTTATTGTGACATAGTTTTATGTACTTATTAAAACTTTGATACAAACCAAAGTTGTTATTTATTTTATTTAAAACCAGTGTCAGTAAAATATTAGGTAAGCATGTGGTTAACATAAGCAAGAATTTAGTCCAATGAAACTGTTTATTATCTTGATACCTTCCGACGAGTAAAAATTAGTTGAGCCATTAGTACCTTGCAAATCAACCCAAAAACCCGGTAGTTTGTTGATTGTTCATTGGTAGCGTCCCTTCGCTGCCAAAAATAGTTTATTTGGAAGTTGCGTCCCCGGTGACCTGATATGTTATGTGGGTGTTTTATAGATTATTAAGAATGGTAATATCACCGAAAAAATAGATAAAATGACAGTTGAGTGACCAACAAAGACAACTGAAAACAATAGTTCGTCATTAGAAGTTATTTAGTATAACTTTATTCGGAAAATTTATCTCAAAATCGAGTTGCCGTCCCTGGCGTTATCAGTGACGTCGTATGGCTTGTGAGCGATTTTTACCAATTAACCCCTAAGTAAAAATTAGTTGAGCCATGTAGTACCTTTGCAAATCAATCCAGAAACCCGGTAGTTTGTTCAATGTTCATTGGTAGCGTCCCTTGCAAATTAACCCAGAAACCCGGTAGTTTGTTGATTGTTCATTGGTAGCGTCCCTTCATCACCGAAAAATAGATAAAATGACAGTTGAGTGACCAACAAAGACAACTGAAAACAATAGTTCGTCATTAGAAGTTATTTGGTATAACTTTATTCGGAAAATTAATCTCAAAATCGAGTTGCCGTCCCTGGTGTTATCAGTGACGTCGTATGAACTACTTGACCGATTTTTACCAATTAACCCCTAAGTAAATATTAGTTGAGCCATGTAGTACCTTGCAAATCAACCCAGAAACCCGGTAGTTTGTTGATTGTTCATTGGTAGCGTCCCTTCGCTGCCAAAAATTGTTTATTTGGCAGTTGCGTCCCCGGTGACCTGATATGTTATGTGGGTGTTTTATAGATTATTGAGAATGGTAATATCACCGAAAAAATAGATAAAATGACAGTTGAGTGACCAACAAAGACAACTGAAAACAATAGTTCGTCATTAGAAGTTATTTAGTATAACTTTATTCGGAAAATTAATCTCAAAATCGAGTTGCCGTCCCCAGCGTTATCAGTGACGTCGTATGATTTGTGAGCGATTTTTACCAATTAACCCCTAAGTAAAAATTAGTTGAGCAATGTAGTACCTTTGCAAATCAACCCAGAAACCCGGTAGTTTGTTGAATGTTCATTGGTAGCGTCCCTTCGCTGCCAAAAATAGTTTTTTTGGCAGTTGCGTCCCCGGTGACCTGACATGTTATGTGGGTGTTTTATAGATTATTGAGAATGGTAATATCACCGAAAAAAATAGATAAAATGACAGTTGAATGACCAACAAAGACAACTGAAAACAATAGTTCGTCATTAGAAGTTATTTAGTATAACTTTATTCGGAAAATTAATCTCAAAATCGAGTTGCCATCCCCGGCGTTGTCAGTGACGTCGTATGGTTTGTGTGCGATTTTTACCAATTAAACCCTAGGTAAAAATTAGTTGAGCCATGTAGTACCTTGCAAATCAACCCAGAAACCCGGTAGTTTGTTGATTGTTCATTGGTAGTTGAGCCTAAATATTAGTTGAGCCTAATATTAGTTAATTATTTAATTAATTAATTTAATAATTAATTATTAAATAATAATAAATTAATTAATTAATTAAATTAAATTAAATTAACTAATTAATTAACTAACTAACTAACTAACTAACTAACTAACTAACTAACTAACTAACTAACTAACTAATAATTAATTAATCAATCAATCAATCAATCAATCAATCAATCAATCAATCAATCAATCAATCAATCAATCAATCAATCAATCAATCAATCAATCAATCAATCAATCAATTAATTAATTAATTAATTAATTAATTAATTAATTAATTAATTAATTAATTAATTAATTAATTAAATAATCTAATTTATTAATTCGTCATGGATTAATAAAAAAAAACGGTGGCGCTTCAGTCTTGGAATTGATTTGCTCCTTTGCCGTTTTGGTAGTTGACATTGCCGTTTTGGTCTGTTGCCGTTTTGGTACTTACCATTGCCGTTTTGGTTTATTGCCGTTTTGTTTTTTTTAGCGTTTTGTCCAAAGTTTTAGTTTTGAGATAAAAACGATCGAGTTTTAATGTCGGGTAATAGGCCTATTGTAATTAGACATCGAAACGAGTTTAAGTGATACTTTGTATCAGATAGACAATAAAATAAGGTTAATTAGTTAATATATGATACAAATTTTGATAGTAATATGTCTATCATTAATACTGTAATTTAAACTAGCTACTGTATAATAATAATAATGTTATATTTATATAGCGCATATTGATATAAATTCTTATTAATAGGTCCATTGTATTACCATGGTATTAGTACGTATCTAATTCGAGCTCGCTGATTGGTTTGATGCCTGCCTGCTCCCAGGTCACCTTATTTACATGAACTTTCATTTTGCAAACATGGCGGCCTCCACGTCGCAAACACATTTTCATACATATTTCTGGCCTGCAGCAGCTGCTGTGACACTGTTCAAACTTCTTTTAATTCCAGCATAGTAAGTATA